TGTGTGTGTGTGTGTGAGAGAGAGAGAGAGAGAGAGAGAGAGAGAGAGAGAGAGAGAGAGAGAGAGCCTATACTTAAATTTATGTTAAACGCTCTTCCTAATAAATTTCAATTCTGCTTCTTATCAGCTCATTCTGAAATTCTTTTCAGGGATTAAGAAACCCATCTTCTCTGGAGTGAAGTGTCTGAAAAGAGCTGAGGTCCCTGCATGTGGCCACACAGAGCACTGTCCTGGCCCGTGTCCTGCTGCACTGACGGTAGACATGGGGGGGATGCACTTAGATATCTATCCCATGCATGGCATGATCTAGTAGCAGAGCAGTGAATGGACTGTGGGGCAGGCTGTGAGGGACAAATATAAGCTTCCCATGAACACACAAGAGCGGCCTCAGCTCATGGCCAGAGACATTGCTTACAAGAAATGCATCAACTGGGATGGGTAAATACTATGCTAAATTAAAAAATGGGAAGCAGGGATGTGTAGACGAATTTCTAAACAGTCTCATTAAATAAGAAACACAGAGCCAAATACAGGGGTAATAGCTGAAGACATCAGAGAAATAGCAAAGCACCACTGACTAAGCTTAGCTTTCCACCATGCCATAGCTTCCCAAGAGAGAGCTTCTTCCTGTCTAACCCGCGATTGTATTGCCTTCCTGTTCTGCCTTCTCATTGGCTCTAAGCCCAGCCACATCACTTCCTCATCACTGCCTGTCTATACAGACCTCCAGGTCTCTATGGTTGGTACTGGGATTAAAGGTGTGTCACCATGCTTGGCTGTGTCCTTGACCACACAGAGACTCTGCCTGCCATATGATCAGATTAACGGCATGGGCTACCACCGCCTGACTTCTGTTTATGGCTCACTATGACCGCTGATCTTCAGGCAAACTTTATTTATTAACATACAAATAAAATCACATTTCAGCACAAATAAAATATCACCATAGGGATGAATGAGTTTCTCAGAGGAGCCAACAGCATGGCTTTGGGAGGTGCTCTGGGATTTGGCTTGTCACCTACCTTCTCCATCCGGACCTTCCACCAGACCCTCCAAGTCATCCCAGCCACACCAGGAACTCCACGTGTTTTCAGCATTGGGGCATTTTGTCCAGTTGTTCTGAATGCAGCTTATCTGATGCCTGCCCAAGTGTGAGCATCCTTGAACACTCATTGAAGCCAACTCCAGCCATGAAGTGTTCCAGGTTCTGGGGTTGGAAATCTGTTTTGTCAGTGTCTGTACTTCTATAGATTTCCATCCTGGGTCTCCCTCCCTCCCTCCTTCCCTCCCTCCCTCTCTCCCTGTTGACATGGTCTCATATAATATCCTAGGATGGCTTCAAACTCACTATGTAGCAGAGGCTGGCCTTGAACTTCTTGATCCTTTTTTTGAGTACTATAATTATAGACTGTACTACCTGGTTTTACAAAGTGCTGGTGATCAAATCCAGGTCTTCATTCCACTAAACAAGCTCTCTATTAACTGAGTTATACTCCAGCTCTCATTTGCACCTTTCTGGGAACACATACATCTTATCTCAATGTCCCAGCACTTTCCTATTCTTTTTTATTGTTTCTCACACTTATTTACTGTTTGTGTGTCTGCCACACTGTGTGTGTGGTTGTCTGAGGGCAGCTTTCAGGTGTGGAGTCACTCTCTGCACCATGTATGTTCTGGGGATGAAACCCAGGTTGTCAGGCTTGATAGCAGGTGCCTTTGACTGCCAGTCCCCCTTTTCCCTCAGTCTTCAGAAGCTACCCTAAATCAGAGAGAATCTTGTTTGTCTTTTCCAGTTCTTAGAAAAGTTGCACACAACTTCTTACCCAGATGAGAACTCAGAGTTTTTTTTGAGTGCTGTAGCCAAGAATTTGAGGGTGAGAAGTGGGTGTCACAGAGAAGCAGAGGCAGGACAAGCTGGAGGCAAAGATGGGGTTGGCTGGATGAGGAGCAGAGAAAAGAAACAAGGGACATGGAGGAGACAGTTTTACCTTGCTCCTTTGATGCACTCCCCCTTAATCTGCATAAACATCTCCTGTGGGGAAGGACTGTTGTCCTCACTGTAGAGGCAGAGAAATTTGCCTGTTGCCAGGCAAGAGTAACATGCCAGCCTTTCAGCCATCCTCTGCTCTGATGATTTCTGTTCCTACTCCCCTTCCTGTCCCTGCTCACCTGGGAGACCAGAGTGGCACAGAAAGCTGAAAAGAACAAGGACACGCATAGCAGAAATTTTAGAACACACCAAGGCCAGGAGGGGGCATCTCCAGCCTTATCCGTTCCAGAATGCTAGTAGCAGGTTCAGAGTTGAGAGACATACAGAGGGCAAAGTGCATGCACATGTCTATAACAAGTAAGGTGATGTAGCTGGAGTTTTCTCCAGTCCTGCTCAGGTTGGCAGCCGCTCAGACCCAAGTAAACACACAGACACTTATATTATTTATAGGCCTGTATGGCAGGCTTCTTGCTATCTAGTTCTTATATCTTAAATTAACCCATTTCTATTAATCTATAAGTTGCCACGTGGCTTGTGGCTTAGTGGTACTTTTACATCTTGCCTGGCTGGTGACTCCTGACTCAGCTTTTCCTTTCCCAGAATTCTCCTCTCTGCTTGTCCTGCCTATACTATACTTCCTGCCTGGCTGCTGGCCAATCAGCATTTTATTTATCAACCAATCAGAGCAATGCATTCACAGCACATAGAGCGATCAATATCCACAGCAGGGTGAGGCAAGCGGGGCATGGGCAGGGCACACAATTTACATCTCTGGATCAGAAGCACACACTCACACTGGACCTGGAGAGCACATAGATACCTACTTGAATCTTGACAAACGCTATCAAATTAAAGGAGGTCCAACCCTTGAACAATGCTCTAGGTTGTCTCTGCCTGGCACTGGTAGATAACACACTTTTGGCATATGGAGAACACACATGCAAATTAGCCAAGGAGATATACATTTATGCAATCAAGTCATTGTTTAACTAATATAATTAATGTAGCATTATATTATTACACATAATGATTAACATACAGTAATATTACGTAATATAGTAAGTAACATAAAATCAAATAAAGAATTTGACAAGGGAGGGTTGGGGAGATGGCTCAGTCAGTGAGGTGCTTACTAGGCAAGCATAAGGCCCTGAGTTCAGTCACTAGGAACCATGTGCTCACTTGTAATTCCAACATGGGGAGGTGGAGACAATAGACCTGTGGTGTGATTATCCTTCTGACATTCCCTGCCAAGGCTGCAAAATGCCCATCTAAGCACATAAAATTGTCTTTGGTAAAAGACTTGTGTCCCCTTGGGAGGTGATACAAGAATAGAAAGTTTCAGATGTGCAGAGCTGAGGTTAGGAGGGTGCCTCAGAGAACCATCCTGAGAGAAAAACAGAGGAAGGGCTTTGCAGAAGTCTATGAAGCTGAATTTTATAGGATGTGTGGGGTTTTGTGGCCATGGTGAGTATTTATGAATCTCCTTAATATTATTGTATGTTCCATCCAGATAGCTACCAGTTATTAAATCCATAATACCATCACTGAGAAAAGAATTCTTGTAGCTGCAAGTTTTCCTGTGTCCCGCCTGGTCCCGCAGACACTCAGACCCAAATAAACACACACAGGCTTATATTAATTATGAACTGTATGACCATGGCCTGTGGCTCAATCTTCTTGCGCTCTAGCTCTTATAACTAAACTCAGCCCATTTCTATTAATCTATATGTCGCCACATGTTCCGTGGCTTTACCTGTGTGTCATTACATGCTGCTCCCTGTACGGCGGGATGGCATCTCTCCCCTCTCCCTTTCTTCTTCCTGTCTCTCTCTTCAATTTCCTACCTAGCTATATCCTGACTTTCCATTGGCCAAATGGCTTTATTTATCAACCAATCAGAGTAATATGTATTCACAGCATACAGAAAGACATCCCACAGCACTTACCCTTTTCTGTCTAATCAAAAAGGAAGGTTTTAACTTTAACATAGTAAAATTATATATAACAGAATAGTTATTAAACGAATTACAGCTACAATATCTACTCTATTTGTATTTGGCAAAATTAAAGAAAATATTCTATCTGATATTTGTGAGTCTAAAGTTTCATATCTAATTTATCTTTTATCAAAGAACCCAGAAAGATATATTACCTAAGTAAACAGAAAATGTATTGTGAGAAACTTCCAAAATTCTGAAAATGTCAGAGACAGCTACCTGCCTGGACAGCCATCTAAAGTTCCTCTGTAACAATGGGGCATCCATCTTTAGCCAATGGGTCTAGAGTTTTTTAGTCTCATCTGCAAAGCAGCAACCTGAAGAACCATTTCACCTTGCAAAGTTCAGTGGTCACCTTCCTATGGGCCCTGCTTGTCCAGTTTATATAACATATTATCAACAGTCCAGGCAAGAGCAGTTTCTTGCACAATGGCTATTTTTGCCAAGAATGGCTATTTTGTCTTCGATGCCCATTTTTCTCTTTGAAGTAAATTGGTGCTGTCAAGAGCAGATGTGTCTTACTGTCTAGAAAGTCTAAGTTTTTAAAACATTTTAAAAGCCATATTCTGTAGGTCTTTGAAATGTTTAAAGATTACCTGCCTAATTGAAATATATCTATGTATACCTAGAAAATTTAACATGACTATAAGTCTGACTATCATAGAAGACTAATTATTAATCTGTATTTCTTAAATTACCCATTACAATTTAAATGAGTCACATAAACATAATGCCTTAAACAAGAGTAGAAATATGCATACAATATAACAAAATTAGATTTAAATTTGTAATAACCTACAATCTATAGCAATATAAAACATTTTAAACAAGTTGTTGCTCTTTAAAAGTAGGTTCAATAATATAACCTTATTCTATTATATCTATATTATTTCCTTTTCTTTTTTAGAAAGAGATTGTATTTATAATCAACTCACTTTAAATATAAATAAACATTTATAAACAATATTTTGGGAATCTGGGGGTAGCTGCTCATACTACTTCCTGCTGAATGGGGGTGCTAGCAATCTTATGGGGATCCTGAGAAAATTAAGAATTATTGTCAAATTCTGACTGGAGTAGTCTGTGAGGCTGCATTGTCTGAGTCAGTTGCCTTGAAGCTATTCTGGATATTGGATCATCTGGGCCATGGTAACATCTGACACCTTTCAGGGGGTCTTGGCTGATCAAACCATATTAACCTGAAAGCAGTCCACAGGTTCTCATCTTCTGTGGAAATAAAAGCAGAACCTCTTTTCCAAAGCAAAA